ACCAAGATTTGAGACTCACAACCGTCCAGCCTGGTCCTTCATGCCCAAAGGTTACAAAATCACAGATTACAATCCCAGAATGGTTTGGGTTGGAAGGGACCTTAAGGACCGTCTCATTCCAACCCCCTGCCATGGGCAGGGACACCTTCCACTATCCCAGGTTGCTCCAACCTGGCCTTGAACACTTCCAGGGATGGGGCAGTCACAACTTTTCCTGGCAGCCTCCAGAATAAATCCTAGCACGCAAGAGATATTTACACTCAGGTACCAGACACGAAGCCAGAGCAAGGAACCTCCTCCCTGGGTAAGTCAAGCCAAGGTTTTGTTGCCCTACAGCTACAAAATCTCACCTCATTTCCATGCCGCAGGTTCCTGCCATCACCCGCGGTGCACTGGAGCCTGCCAGGCTTGTGCTGCAGGACAAACCCCGCTGCAGGGCTCTTCTCTGTTCCCTCTTCACCTTCTTTCCAGGAATTAGGCTCAGTTAAGTTCTCAAAGCCTCAGGCTGGGAGTTTTTTTCCTCAGCTATCAGCTCCTGGCTCGGCCTGTGTCAGCCCTCAGTTTCCTGTTGACATTAATCTCTGTGCCGTCGTTTATCTTTTATCCTTTTTCTATGTCCTTCTGATGTTTCCAGCTGCCAGGAGTGACCTCCTTCTGATGTTCCCAGCTGCCAGAAGTGACCTCCACCGAGTGTGACTCTTGCCTTGGCCCACAAAGAAAGCAACGTGCCTCAAATCATTCTCTGGTCGGTTGTCCCCATGGTCAGAAGGGTCCTTGCACTTGGTGTCCTTCTGAAAGGGCTGGTGGGTCCTGGAGCATCCTAAAACATCTGTTTTAGCCAGAGGGAGTTGTTAGCTGGACACCTGAATCCATGTGATGGAGAATTTGGATAAATCCCAGGTAAATTCTCCTAAAAGCCGATTGATCCCCAGGGCTGCAAAATATCCTTCCAGCTCCCTGCTTGGTGCCTGAGTGTCTCCCAGCTGGCATTCCTAGGACCCCCTTCCATTGCTGATCTTCCTCTGTGGCACCTGTGCCCGAGAGATGGGTTTGGTACCACTCACCTTGGACTCTTAATGTCACCTCATGACTTCCAGCAGTAACTGCTGCACAGGGATGCAGGAGCATGTCCCACTCAGCTGCTGCCCTTTCCATCCATCTTTCAAACACCTCCAGAACCCCCAGGGA